TTTATTAACTCTGATTCTATGATAGACATTCTGTATATCAATCTTTGAGAACATCTTTACTTCAGATAATTGATTGATCATCTTATTAATTAACAGTAATGAATAGTAATTCTTAACTGTCATCTTATTAAGGCCTCTGTAGTCTACACATAGATGTAGCCTATCATTCTTCTTGAGTACAAAGAGTATAGATGCCTCTGCTGAACTCTTTGATGAATATATTCAGTTCTTTGATTGCACTTCTTCAAGATATTTATACAGAACATTCAACTTCTTTACAGACAAGTTATAAAGAGGCCTGTACAGCACTGTTACACTGTCTTCAAGACAAATCTTATATTGCATCTTAATGTCAGAAAACTTCACTGCTTTTCTTTCTGAAAAGACATTCTTAAAATCTGTAAAGAGACATCATATATGTCTGTCTTCAATAACAGATACTGCTGCTAATCTTGCAGTGAGAGTGATGACTTCTTCATCTATTCTCAAGTCTCAATTATCTACTACACAGTATATCAACTCAATCTTTTTCTTAAGATTCTTTCAATGAAACTCTTCAGATTTCTCTATCACTGTCTCTTCATTAGTGAGACAGTATCATCACATCTGAGTAACTCAGTCAATGAGAGAATTGTTTTCTCTCAATCACAGAAGATCTAGAATGATGTTCTTATCTATAATATTAACTGTGTGAAGAAGTAGACTGCTCTTCTTGAAGATTTCTTCTGAGTCTGTGATCACATACTTTGCTTGAATTATGCTAAAACAGTGATATTTTATTTCATCAGTAAATTTCATATAATCTGATGAATCTATCTTCTTTCAACTCTTCATCAAAGAAAAGAAATAGAATATGAAGTTAGTATTTACTCTGAAGTCAAGTAGACATCTCACTGATATCTTCTCATTCAGAGTATACATTGTGATTATAATATAAATTCAGAGATATGAGAATTATCAATTCTTTTCTTTCTCTTCTTTATCTTTCACAGATATGTTTGTCAGAAGAGAAGTTAACTTTAAGAAGATATCTTCTCAGTTTCTTTTCTTCTTTAGCTTCTTATAATCACTGATATAGTGATCATCAGCTCTGCAGTTGAAACAGAGATTCTTGTCAAATCTTTTTTAATATTTCTTTACAGTGAGTGAAGAATCAGAATATTTGAAATTCTTCTTTACTTTCTCTGCACTGAAGCTGTCATGATATTATTTAAATCTCATTATTGATTACTTAGAAGAGATCTTATTGATCTTTTTCTCAGAGAATTAATTATTTAAATAGATTCAGAAAGCCAGGTTGACAAACTCAGTGTGATTAATTAATGAACTCTGATATTATAATATCATTATTTATATCTTATGAGTCAGCTTTATAAGATAAAGCTGTATTTTTAATTGATTTAAATCATCAGTCAGTTTCTCTCAATATTCTTCAAATCTTACATTGAAATCAGAAGAATTTTCATTATTTTATTAATATAATAAGTTGAATCACTGTACTGCTGTGAAGCTGCAGTTACAGTAATCTTTAATTTAATTCAGTAGAAAGTTCTTGAATTCTTTCTAAGTTATAATAGTATTGATACACTCAAGCTCTCTCTTCTTGATAGCTCAAGTAGTTGCAGAGATGTCTTCAAGAAGGTTGACAGTGTATATTACTCATATCTCATGAGTATTATACTGGCTTGAGTTAAGGCGGAATTTTCATTCAAGAATACAGATAAAGCTGTGAAATTCAGACAAGATATTTCTCTTATATCTCAGAGAATCTCTGATCTTAATCTCTCTATCTTCATGATAGATGTAGATGTGTAGAAGCTGTGGCGGTGGCAGAGCAGTTGAAGAGCTCATGTTAAAATGTGCAGTGAGTTCAGAAATCTTGAATTTCTGCTGAGATAGAGATGTACACACTCTAGAAAATGATGTAGTGTTTCTCTCAGAGAATGAAGTTGAGTTGATCTCAATGTAAGTGTGTGAGGCCATATCAGTCTGTTAGAGCTTAACTGATTCAAATGTATAATCAGGTTAAGTAATTCAAATTATAACATAACAGAATCAAAGCAGTGACTAGTCAGTGATAATATATAGAAGTAGTTATTTAAGAAGTTATATAAGTAAGCTTGACTATCTTGCTTGAATAGTGAGCTTGTAGACTACAGAGTTATTGTGAGAATATCACAGATATAATACTTAGTATATTAAGAAGATTGTATGAGATATACAGTAACTCTTGTATATATTTCAGTAGAAGTAAAACAAATCACTGACTTCTTTGATGAGAAGTCAGCATCTAGTTATTCTATATAGATAATAAGTGAATACTCTTCTTTCATTTTATGAGTGAGAATAGTCAGAGTGATATCTCAGCAGTGTCTCATTGTCAAGAAAGAGTAATCTGCTGATCTTGTATAAAAGCAGGGTTCTCATATTCATCAATTGAATCTTCCTATGATACATTCAAATGATGTCATAGAGTGGTTGGAAACCGGTTCGGACAGGATGAAATCATCCGCATGGAAGCGATGGGCCGTGTGGAACCGCAACGGGGCCTTGGCGCGGCCGGGAGCGTGACAGCTTAGAATTGATGTGAGCTCTGAAAAAGCTTTCTCAATACCTTAATAATGAATTCATCATTGTAACTGATTATATTGCACTTATATTCACTCTTCAGTCACTCATCACAGATTATCAGAGTAATTGATTGATGAATTGAGCTCTGACTCTTAGCATGTATATCTCACACATGAAAATTCACTATTATAAAGACACTTCACATTATAATATTAATGCTCTCTTTTAATTACACACTCTCACAGACAATTCTGAAGAGATTCTGTAAGATAATCAAGAAAAGATATGTCAAGCACTCACTCAGTAAGCTGATGAAATCAAGAATGAGTTCATTACTACTGTATTTAACATAGGCATCACTCTCTTAAACAATATTAAAGATCAATTGTGTAAGAATCTATCAGCTGATTCAATCTTGAGAAAGATCTATTGTAAAGTGATATGAGAGAGAAAATATTATTCATTCACACTTTAAGATAATCTTCTGTTTTTTATCAATAACTGTCTCTGTATTACACAGATCTTAGCAGGAGACCTCATTCACATGTGTCATGATACTGCTGAATATCTGAGTCTTCATTGAACAGAAGACATTATGCATCAATTCTTCTTCTTATCTCACACTTGTAAACAGATTCTCAATCACATCTCATATTATCTCAATTGTCAACTGTCTAAGTCATTCAATCACTCTCAGTGAGAGAAATCACATCTCATCTCATCTCTGAAAGAATCATTTGAGGTTCTGTCAATCAATTTCATTACAGAATTACTAATAAGTGATAGCTGTGATATAATACTGACAGTCACAGACAAATTCTTGAAAGTCATCATTCTGATTGCCAGGTAAGAGAAATAAGATACTCTGTGATAAGTGAAAGAGTTCTACAGAGAAGTAGTCTGTCACTGACAGCTCTCACTGATCATTATCTCAGATAGAGATTTCAAATTCATATCATAATTTTAAAAGAGTATTCTTCAACAGATGAGAATTAAGAGCTGAATAATAACTATCTACAATTCTCATTCAAATGATCAGAGTGAGTGAATCAATCTCACTATTGAAATCACCTTATGAGTGCTTCTCATAGACAAGTACAAATTATCTTGAAGAACTCTACTTAATCAGGTGAAAAGAGCTCTGAACTCAGTAGCTGCTCACTTAGCAGTAGTCTTCTCATTTGAATTACTTACAGAAGTCAAGCTGAGATGACTACTGCTGAGAAATAAAGAAGTCTCAGTAGATATAACTAAATTCATTACAGTCTGTGATACTGTACAGTGAGACACTCTAGATTTATACACTCTTGTAAAGATTAAAATGATGGAATTCTTTGACCACTCTCACACTCAATCAGTTATCAAGATAAGTGACTTTGTCTTTCTTAACCTGGCCCGCAAGAATGAAAAAGAATATACTGTGTAACGTGGCGGAACCGAAGCGGTGGCTAGTCGGCGGCGTCACATAGAAGTAGTTGTTTGAAAAGCTGTATAAGTGAGCTTGACTATCTTGCTTAAATAGTGAGCTCATAGGCTACAAGGTTATTATGAGAATATCACAGATATGATACTTAGTATACTAAGAAGATTGTATAAGACATGCAGTAACTCTTATATATATTTCAGTAGAAGAAAAATGAATCACTGACTTCTTTAATGAGAAGCCAGCATCTAGCTATTCTATATAGACAATGAGTGAATACTCTTCTCTCATTTCATGAGTGAGAATAGCTGAAGTGATATCTCAGCAGTGTCTCATTGTCAAGAAAGAGTAATCTGCTAACCTTATATAGAAGTGAGATTCTTATATTCATTAATCAGATCTTTCTATGATATATCTGAATGATATCATAGAGTGATTGAAAACTGGTTCAGACAGAATGAAATTATTCACATAAAAGTGATAAGTCATGTGAAACTGTAACAGAGTCTTGATACAGTCAGAAGTGTGATAATACTCTTCTCTTTAAGAACATAGTCTCTATACTCTCAAGATTACTGAATTAGAAATTATCTTTGTTATATAGTAATAGTTATCAATCAATTAACAGTGTATATACTGTATATGATATAAAGAAATAGATGAGTTTTTCTGCTGACTGTATAGATCTTTCTTTTCTCATCTTTATTCAAATCAAACATATGATAAGTGAGTTTCTTATATATCAATTTAGAAGATGAAAAATGTAATTAATAAGTGACTTACAGATCTTTCAACATTTTCTGTTCTATATATGAAATTCTCTGCAAAAGTGATATGTTTTAGAGACAAAGTTAACAGTAGTGACAGGATTTTTTTAAAAAGATTTCTCTTCTCTGTGACACTTTTTTCATTCCCCTCTCTCATCTGCAATAGTGAGTGCATGGGAGTATCATCCTTAGAGAACAGTAGAGGGCTTATTCTGATGTTTTCTAGTGAGTAAATGTCTTCATGGTGCAGCGGCGGCCTCCGTGGCCACCAAGAAAGCCAGGTTGAAGGCGGAGGCAGCGGCATCAATGAGCCGCGGGAGCACTGCTCTCATTGCCACACCTTCTCCTCCTCCTGCTTCTTTTGCGGTCGCGGTGGTAGTCACTGTGCCTTGCAGTGAGGTGTCATCCCTTCTGCCGGTCAGTTTGTCCATGTCCAGTCCATCCCCTGCCCCCCCCACCGCCGTTGCGACGCCGCCCCCCCCCCCGGCCAATACAGTGGTGTATGACCCTGTGTGGTCATTCAGAGAGGAACCTGAAGAGAGCTTGATTCTGGGGACAGTGACTTCAAGGAGCTCAATCTGTAGTTCCCCTCCCGCGGCACGCCTGAGCCCTGCTCAGAATGCTGCTGAGTTGGGTTTGCAGAATCTCATGATTTCTTCATCTTCTCTCTGTGAGAAGGCTCTGATGTGGCCTCTGGCCAGCATCACTACTTGTCTGTGCTGTGTCAAGCAGCTGAAGAAGAAGAAGATTCTATGTATTCACTTCTTCTCTCACTTCTGTTATTTCTATTGTATCTGTAACAATGACTTCTGTCTCTCTATAAGTATTATTTCACAGAAAGACATTATATCAGTTCTGATAAGAAGTCTAGATGCTCAAGCAGTACAGAGTGAGAGTCTCAGAGCTTCAAGTATTGATAGATTTCATCAAGACTGAGAAGATCTTTCTTACTCATCTATAAAAGAAGATAAAAGCATGAATCTCTGAGATGAAAAAACATCTCAGAATGACTGATCTTAAGAAGAGATCAGTTAATATCATCATTGAAAGTATCACAGAGATCAATCACTGATTGAAGAGAATCTCACTTCAACTGAAGCAGATGACTGAGATGCTTTGTAAGTTGATAAGTTAATATTTTATACATTTCTTATACTCTTCTGTGACACTGCAGTGCTAACTTCTCAGCAGACAAAGATATCAGTATCAGAGACTTCAACAGTGAAGAATAAGTTTGATGAGAGTGTGATTATTAATGAGTAGACTCTGAAATTCTCTCTTTTTACTTTTTCAGCAGGCTGCAGCCTTATTAGATTAGCAGCAGCCTGCAGATCAATTAATATTAATCTTTTTTATTAATTTCAAATATCTCTTTTCTCTAACTGCTTTGAAATTTTTACACTTGTGTAGTCTTATTAAACTTCTAAAAAACTCTTTGAGAGAAAATAGAAGAAGAGTGCTACAGAGTTTATAAGACACTGACTCATCACTGTGAGATCATCTCTAAAAAACTCTTTGAGAAAAATAAGAAGTCTTAAGCAGTATTTCTTACTCAATGTCTCTGATATGTAATAGAGCAGTCTCTATTAATTATCTTATAACTTGTAATCTCTTTCTCAGCATTTTTCAAATACTTAAGCAGTTCTCATGAATTCTCTGATAATAAATATTCTTTTCATTTCATAAGATATTAAAGCTTGCTGTAATATGTTTACTTATTTAATATTTTCTTTATAAGATATTCAGTATCACTCTCAATCTCAATATCATTCAGCTGAGACAGCTTCACTTCAGAACATTGCTTATAGAGCTTCAAATAGAAAATGTGAAAAACAGAATGAATTGATTTCAATTCTGTGAATAATTTTAACTTATATATCTGCTTACTTATCACTCTTATTACTGAGAAAGATTCTAGTCACTACTCACTGAGCTTCTTACACAGTCTCATTGTCTTGATATTCTTTTGTGATTCAAAGGTTGCTTAAGCCAGCATACGATTACAGGCGTACGCCGGCTTCTTATATTGTAATCTCATACACTAAATTAATTAGTGTATGCTATGGCCTCTTTACACTTGTACATATACACTAGTAGTTTGAAAGCAGTCATATAATTATTCAACAGTTGTATGTTCTTCTGAATCACATTCTTTCTCACCAGATTCAGTCACACTCATGTGATCATATTGTACACTCTAGCTTCATGCAGATTAGCTTGTCACTAGTGTTTCACAATTGTGTGACCTATTTCTGATTCAGCTAGCATTCTGCATATACCCTTATAAAGAAACTTTCACTATATTACATCACTCATTTACTAACTTTTCTCATCCTTCAATCATCTTCTTCATTATTATCATCATTAAACACTATCATCTCATTCAAGATTTCTACTTCTTCTTCTGTCTAACTCTTTTGATCTGTTCATCTATCACATTGTACACATTTCTGACAATGATCTCTCATTCTCATAATAAGCATTATCATAGTGCTCATACTGAGCAGTTTGTTAACAGTAAGTGTAATATATTATGAAACATGATCAGAACTTATTTATCTTCTAACAATTGCCAGAATGATGTATTATCATGAATGATGACACATCTTCTTCATCTTCTCATACATTCTCAACTGTTTCTCTTCTCAGTGAGTTTCTAATCATGTTTTCTAGCACAATTTTGCATGGACACAGATGCTGATATGTTTGTTTTTATTTGCATAGAATTGTCACACATTGACAGATCTGTATCTGTCAATGATAGTGAACCCAGTGTTGAATCATTGATCAAGAACTTGAAGAATGTGATAATGAAGGAATTGCCTGTGTCATATATAATCAGGTCTTCAGTGTTCTCTTCTGTCTCTTCTGCTACTTCTTTCTCTGCTGCTCTCTCTCAATCTTCTACACTTGTCTCTGTGTCTGATTCTCCTGCTTCTGCTACCTCTGTTCCTGTGACCTCTACTCTCACTACTTCTGATTTTACTATCTCTGCCTTCCTTACTAGCTCTCCCCATTTCAAGGAGATGTTGCATAGGCTCAGTGAACCACATTTCTCAGCATGTACACTCCTGCCTTTCTTACCGATCCCTAGAACAATTTATTGTACAAAGACAGCATATAACACAACTATCTGAAGTTCAGTCACAGACACTGATTATTACATTCATTTTAAATATTCATGATGAGACAATCATTCATTCATCTCAGAGAATTACCCTTCTCTCAACAGTGTTGAGATTATAAGTCTTTTTCTTTTTTCATCTTTTTCTTTCTGATGCTGATTTTTCTGTTCTTAGAAAAAATTGTTATGAGTTTTACTGTGCACAAAGTCATGATGTTCACAGATATCAAGGAACTTTTTATAACTGTAAAGTTCAACATCACAGAGACATCTGCTCTGATGAATTTCTTCAGAATGATAGATCTGTATCAGTCTATTCTCTGATATCTGTTATCTGACTTCATAATACAGGCAAAAGATATCTGTGTTTTCAGAAATGAGAACACGGATGTTGTACTCTTTTACACTCACAGATGTGAGACTTGTACATCTTGTCTGAGATGTCATTGTGAGAATGAGCTGTTTGCATGCTGCATTCTGCTTCCTGCATTTCTCTGTATTTCTCTCTCTCTTTCTGAGGAGTCTCATGTGTGTTGTAATTGCATGTACAATTCTAAGGCCAGTGAGTGTTCATTCAGTAATTATTATCTCTGTTTTTGTGATTTTATATACTAACAATAGTTCTTAGTTACTCTGGCATCAGAGGTCATTTTAATTAAAGATGACAACACTGCTGAGACTATTTCCTTCTACTCTCAAGCTTCTTCTGTCACTTCTTCTCCCTCCTCTGCAGAGAAGGTTGTGTGCACACCAGATTATAAGTGTTTGATTCTGAGTGACTCCTGTCATTCATTCAGTTCTGTGCCTCTCTCTTCCATTTCTTCTGTCTCTGCCCCTTCTGTTCTGGCTCCTGATCTTGCAGGTTTCATGCTCTTCTCCAATTTCTCTACACATACACATACGCATTCCTATATTAGCATTCCAGTCAATCTTGCAATAAATGACATTAATGTTGTACACAGAGTGATAGAGGAATCAGAGACATGCACAGCATTGTTATAAGAGTGACTTACAGTTCTCAAATTCCTTACAGATCTTGAGTTTTGAGATTTCCTTTATTTTTGACATTTTTCAGATGACATGGCATTGGAAATAGATTAAACATATGATGTATGAAAATGAATGAGATGTGTATAATAACATTTGTCTTTTACAGCTGATTCTTACAGTTAATGATCAATTCATTATCTCTTTTCTTACACTTTTTCTCTATCTGCTAGTCACTACTCTTACACAACCTCTATATAGTACAGTATTCAGTGACTAGGTTCAGCAGCTTCCAACTTTTGTGATTCTGTCTCACACATTATACTGTCTCTCTTCGCCCGCTCAGATCACTACAGTGAACAGCTCATTGAAACTAACCTCATCTGATCTCTGAGCATCTTCAGAGATTGAGATGACTTGATTTCATGTGTCTGTGAATGTTTCAGATAGTTTGTCTTCTATGATCTCTGTGATTAAACTGATGTAAACAGTTAAATTCAACTCTGAATTTCTTTTTCTTCTATGATCTGATTTATGTGTAAGTCTGCTGCTCTGAGACTGCTCTTTACTGCATTGCATTCACTGTCTGCAGTGTATTATTGTACAATCAGCTATAGTCTCATCACTTATTGAAGTGTGATATTCATCTGATTTCTTCATTACTTCTCATTCTTTCCTTATAATCATGAAAAGATTGGAATAAGTGAGATCATCTGATTTGTAAGCATCTATGATTTCTCTTACTTCTCAAGACTTTTCAATTGTAAGCTTCTTCTTTTTCAACACTGATAATAGTGCTGTGAATAACTATAATTCACTCAGATCTTATATCTTTACTTTCACAAGTTATGAATCATTGATTAAGTTGTATAAGACCTGTCTCTCTGATTCTTTCAATGCATACATTCTCAGAGAATGTGATTTGAGTATCTTATATAGCTCAAATCATCTAGATTGAAACTTCTCAGAACTCTCATTACATATGAGAACTCACATTCTCATCTTAAGACTTGATTCCTTAACAAGTGAGTCTTGTATTCTTTTCAATTGAATTGCTCAGTTCAGGAGTAACTTGTTAGCTTTTGCACGTGCATGACTGATCTCTTTCAATCTTGGTTTCACATCTGCAACTGTTGCATCTGCAACTGCTGTTCCTGCTGCATCTGCAACTGTTGTTTCTGCTGCATCCGCAACTGCTCTCTCTCCCACCTTTTTCAAAGCATTCTCCAGAATGCGCGGATGCAATCCATACAACAGGTAGAATGATGAATGCTTGAAGACTGCATGCTGTTGAATTCATGTGATCAACAGCACCTGCCT